CGCGGCTGGCTGATCCGGTGGCACGACTGTCGCGAACAACATAACGTGCTCCGATTGTATCGACCGCGGTGATCCTGCTATAGAAAATCAAACTCGGCATAGTTGATAAGAAAAACTTTTTTCGGAATGCTCATAATTCACCGTATGTGGCATAATATCGTGAAATTACTCTGTTCTCAGCGAAAATGATTAGAGTAGGTAAAAGAATGCCCATGGTACCTAGTTTTGAGGTCAGGTGAGCCTACCGCGCTTCAAAGCTCGTTTCTGCGCGAAATCTGGCGCCGTTTTATATTTATGTAGCTTGTTAAGCGTAGAAGTAGTGCACAAACTCGCCATGTTATCTCAAGAATGAGGCGAATATGCGATTTTCTGTTTAACTTTGCATAAGGTGTTCCATGTGCGTTGTATGACTATGATTGCGTTTGCTGGTGGTAATACATGTATGCGTCTGATAACTTTCCATAGTTTACGGCATGGTTGCATCGACAGTAAAATTATTCACAGCGACTTGAAGAGCGAGTCATGCAATTGGTAAGAAAAATAATGTGTGGACATAACTCCACATATAGTCTCCAACGCGTCTCCCATTGGTCTGGGCGGCCATCCTGGTACACTGCGGAAGTCAGGCCGAGCCCATCTCGAGGGACACGCCATCCAGTCGTGCAAGTAGACACCTTGCATGCTCCAACGGGAGCTGTACCTAATCGAGTCGTGTAAAGGTAATCGTCTTTCCAGTTGGCCGTCCCAGACCGGGGCTCTGGGGGCTGCAGGGTATTAAGAGGAATAGTTTGTATGTCCTGAGCATAGACCAGAGGGATCTAAAAGGGTCTGCCCTCTTTCGGTTCCCGGCCGCAGCCCCTCAGCTCCCCCCCCCCCCCCACCCCCCACCCATGCCCCTGAGGTCTGCGAGCTGACAGTCTTGCAGGGCGAATGTATAATTATAATAAGAGGCAAGAGCCTACCACCAGGCAGTAGGCACCAACAAGTGACATCTACAACAAAAAAATGTAAGACATTGCTGGCGACACCTGTAGGCTGTTGGGCAGCCTTGTGAGGTCAGCCAGCGACGAGCTGGAGTAAGGGCTCCCAACCGGTTGGCAACTAAAATCTATAACATGAACAAGGTCCTCGTAAAACTAAGTGCATATGTAAGTACCACAGAGCTGACAACATGAGTATGTACAGTCCACAGCAGAAGTAATGTGTGGTTTCAGTCATGGGTAGGTATCAGACTTGTGCCAAGGTCCCAAAAAGGTCCGAGATCCAGGGTTCGCAGAGTCCAAGGTCTGGGACCTTGATGGATCCTGGACCTTGCATTGTGATTTTTGTCGTGAGACCTTGGAAACCCAGGACCTTAAAACATCCATGTGCCGCGAGACCTTGGAATCCCAGGACCTTAACATTTGCATATGTCGCGAGACCTTGGAATCCCAGGACCTCAACATTTGTATATGCCGCGAGACCTTGGAATCCCAGGACTACAACATTTGCATATGTCGCATGACCTTGGAATCCCAGGACCTCAACATTTGCTTATGCCGCAAGACCTTGGAATCCCAGGACATCAACATTTCAAGTGACATCAACATGAGACCTTATAGAAACCCAGGACCTCAACATTTCATATGCCGTGAAACCATGGAAACCCTGAAACCATGGAAACCCAGGGGGTCAGGACCTCAAAATTTTGATATGCTGCAAGACCCTGCAGAATGCAGACCTTCAGTCCCAGTTTTATTATTTGTCATGGGATCTTAGGAGAAGGGTCTGGATCTGTACCATCATATTCTTGAGGGACCTCAAGAATCCTGGAAGCTGGACCATGAAGTTTATGTTGCACATGGCCACTAAGGACCCTGCTCTAGGTTTTGTCTGTAAACACTTCAGTACCTAAATATCATGGTTGAGCCGCTGAGCGACCAGCTGCAAGGGGCTAAGATAGATACATGAAGAGAAAATGAACCAGACTGTTTATAAAGTAAAGACAATAAATATAAATAATACTAAACAAGAACCAGACTGTGTAGACATATACAGAGCCAAATCATTGTCATGGCTGTGAGGCAGAACTGGAACAAGAGACCTGATAGCTTTTTACATTATCAATGTTATGGATTATGAAACTGTCAAACAAGTGAAACAGTGGACAGTGGTGGTTTGGAAAGTTCTTTTCTAATCTCACCTCACATATTTTCTGGGCCTTGTTTTCTGGGTTGTGATATGCCGGGCTTGAAGCTACTTGGAAGCTACCCTGACCCACTGACCAAGCAAGTGTCAAACTTATTCGATTTGCAAGTCATCAAATCACCATGGGCATTGCGCAATGAGCATCCAATATAAGCAATGATTCCATGAGCATGACAGTTTAACTTTTCCGTTTAGCAGGTTTTCGTCGGACAATTTTTCGTATGCAGATTTTCGTCCGCAGACTTTCGTCTATGCATTTTTCGCCTGTGCATTTTTAAGTCCGCGCATTTTTTTTTCGTAAGGACATTTTCCGCCTCGTCCAGACGAAAAAAATGCCGGACAGTAAAACACTCCGAAGAAAAATGCACCAAATCAATTCGTACAGACGAATAAATGCAAGACGAAAAAGTCAGACGAAAATCTGCTGACGAAGAACCGTCTGACGAAAAAATTGTCAGATGGAATTTTGTTCAGAGCCTAATGTGAATGAACAGTAAGTAAGGTTTGCGCTCGCTGATACTCTAATTCTATTGGCTTAATCGATCAGTTTTTTCTGTGAGCGCTCGCGCAAACAAGACTTAGAACATATTTGAGTTTTTATCCAGGGCCCTGCTCGGTCGCTGTTTTTATATCAGCGTGCTGTCGGTTATTGCTGGCGCGGCTTGGCCTCTTATTGGTCTAACGAATAGACCACTTGAATTCGACCAATGAGGAGCCAAGAAGTTAGCAGCATGGTCGCAGCCTGCTGATAAATAAACGGGGTGCGAACAGAGCTCTAGGTATTATGTAACTGAATGTGCAGAAAATCGAAAGCATATACCTATCCAATTCAATTTTCCTTTTTTTTAAGCTTGTAGGTTTTATTTCTGGTTTTTTATCTTGCCTGAAAGAATACTTGGATTTTTGTCTTCAATAACTGTAAGGTGCTATCCTACATTCCTAATGATCAGGTAAGATTGATTTGAAAGAACATGACAATACAAAATGCAAGGTACCTATTACCTACCTATATTTTTATGAATTTGTCCGGCTAAAGAAGGAGAGATTGATATCATGATTCATCTTTAACTTTGACTTGTGTTGAAGCTCCCCCTACCTATGTAGTATGTTGGTAAATGATAAAACCACCACAGGTTTGCATAGGTTCTGCCCCTTTCAATGTTGCTGGGCATCTGCTGGCAGAATATTTAGAAGTAAGCCTGCTCATCAGAATGTTAGTTTAAGTTCTTGTTGTGGGACGCTGAATACTTTGGATCCTGAGATGTATTCTTGCCGTGGGACCTTGAGGACTGTGGACCCTGAACTCTGAAGTGTATACTTATCATGGGACCTTGGGGACTGTGGATCCTGAAATTCACGCTTGTCGTGGGACCCTAGGGACTGTGGATCCTGCAATGCATTCTTGTCGTGGGACCTTGGGGACTGTGGATCCTGCAATGTATATTTGCCGTGGGACCTTGGAAACCTTGGATTTTAGAAATTGAATTTGCCGTGGGACCTTGGAAACCTTGATTCTAGAAATTGAATTTGCCGTGGGACCTTGGAAACCTTGGATTCTAGAAATTGAATTTGCCGTGGGACCTTGAGGATCCTGGATCTTGATTTTTGGTCACGGCACAAGTCTGGTAGGTATGTTCTGCTTCTGAAGCTTAGGAACGATTAACCAGACTACAATGAAACTTTGAATGTAGCTTATATGTATCGTCACCCTTGCAGCTGCAACTTTTTCACCGTTCCGTGCTTCTATCCTCAGGATACTGAAATCCTTCTCCTCCACGTCGTAACCCCCCTCCGGGCTGGACAGGCAACTTTATCTCATGCGGGCTGCTCCCTTGGAGCAGCACCGCTGCTCCCGAGGGAGCGCACCCCGTAGCCGGGTGCAGTGAGTGCCTTGGGGCTGAGTGGCCTGTCCTCTGGACGGGCTCAGCCCCGGCGACTCACTAGGGTGCCTGCCCAGACCAATGTCTCCCCCTACATCCTATCATCCTCCCGGCTCTGAAATGGTCTCATTGGACCGAAAGGGCCTAACCCAACAAAACAAACAAACAAGCTGCAACTTTAGCTATTGGCGTCTTCTTTTCGATCACTCCGCATTAAACAATCGCCAGTCAAACAGTGCTGCCAGATTTGGAGGATTTCCGCAAATCTGGAGGATTTTGAACTCTATTTGCGGACAAATTTCGCGTTTGGAGGATTTTTGATTCTGGAGGAAAATCTGGAGGATTTGTCACCCGATTAATATATTCAATTTCATGGAAAAATACAACGCGTTCAAGACTCAAAAGACATTTTCCTGCCCAGCTTCACCCTACCCGTTAGGATATATCACTGCCCTTTATCACCGTGAGACTGGAATGTCTCAGTCTGTAGCTATATCCACGAATATCATGGTGACTATTTGTTCCTATTTCGTGTACGATTGTACCATATGTTTTTGAAGGTACCGAACTACTGGGGGATCAAAGGGGGACATTTGGCGCAAATTCCCCCCCCCCTCCTGCAGCGTCCAAAATCGAAGAAAATTTTCGTTTTTTTTCAAGGATAAAACGAAAACTAAACAACTTTTATTATAAAAAAGCATCTTTTAAACTACACAGCAGTGCGAAAGGAATCGAAATCCGATGAGTTTTTAGAATTTGGAGAAACCTTTTCGGAGATATGCCCTCCCGCAGCGTCCAAGACCGCCTATCTGGATCCGCCAATGGGATTTGGAGGAATCTGGAGGATTTTTGTAACTGATCTGGAGGATTACAGCCTTCTCCATCTGGCAGCACTGCAGTCAAAGCCAACCGTTGAGATTGGTAAAACCCTACATTACTTTAGCGGTGGGCTGTACAAACGATTTCACAATTTGCGTTCATCTCAAGTCTTGTTTCCTCGTACAATTCATAATATTGCAAAAGACTTTAAACGATTGATCTTTCAATCGTTTTTTTTTTTCGTTGTTTGGAAGAAATTTTCTGTTAAAATATCCAAAAACGGTTTAATCCCTCAGTAGTTCTCATTACAAACATCTTATTTGATTTAGTAGCTGCTTGCTAAAGAAATCCTAGCCTGCGCTGCAATTATCTCACTAGGCGATTTGCGGCAAAATATTGACTCTCACAGAATGGATGCCTTGTGGAATGAATGGCGCATTTTTGTCTGGAGGGTATTTGTATTTTGAACTACTGGCAAGCTCGGGTAAGTTTTTAATGAAAGGAGGGTTTCCAAAATACTGTGTGAGGTACTAGGATGTGACATACTGATACATGTTGTGGGAAATTAGAACATCTTCGTGAAATAACAGGCACGATCAATGCCTTGTTGTCAGGACCAGACCCAGACAGCATTCTTTCAAGTTTCAGACCAAGATCATTGCCTGTTTACATGTTCATTTGATTTTTTCCTACTACAGGCTATTGAAAGGATACCACCATTTTTATAACTACAGTTGGAGATGTGTGGTTGGATTGACATCCGAATCCCAAGCTTGACGCTAAGATGAGATGTTTGCGCAAGCTCTGACCCATATTTATATCATCAGATCAAGTGGTCCTGGATGATGGGAGAATTTAGGCATCAATGTTAATTGTGCTCATTAAAGCCAGACATAGCCTGTCTCACGCAACAGACTTCAACTGGCTGCATGTGCTCCTACCAACCATAGATAATCAGTAGGCGGAACTATGGTCATGAGTACCCAAATATAGGAACGTTCCCATTTTTGGGAACGGAGTTCCCAAATATGGGAACGGGCGTTCCCATTTATGAGAACGGAAGGCAATTTTTCGGCCGTTCGCCCACTAAAACTCAAAAGTGCATCACGTCTCAAAAAAGTGCACGCTGATTTAAGTATCTACTAAATCTCCATAAAGTTATCTTTAATCTGACCGTGGAACATGGAAATTGACCGTGGAATGATATTTTTAATGATTTTTTAAAAATGACAGAAAGGTGGAAATATGGGTTATACGACATTTAACATGCAATTTTAAGGAAAATGAAGCATTTTTTACATTTTGAGGTCAAGTATAATAATTTTCGCCTGGTTATGAAATTTCATTCTAGCGACACCAGATGCTGACATATGCAAGCGAACACGCGGACAGTCCCGAGGTAATATTGTTGACTTTTGGTGTCGGGGCGATCGACCGCGTGGAACGTCAGTGATTTTACCGAACTACTGTTGTTAACTCAGTTTCAGTGGTTTAAAATCATTCAGCTGTATTTTATCAGCCCTGAAAGACATATTTTATTTGGATGCTAGCTGTTTAGCGTTGTTTTATAAGCAGCGTCATGAGCGTGGTTTTTGTCTTCGGCGTTTCTAAGCATGATCGTTTGGGGGGAATTTCTCTGATATAGGTCGCTCTGTGTGGCTTATTTATAATTTTTATGCTGATTTCGATCATACCTCGTGCCCATCCTACCAGGCCTTTTGCCACTTACACTCATTAAGAAAGGAAAAAACTAGATTTTCATTGGGACTAGGTGTTTTAAGGGTGTAACATATTCTGCGTTCCCATTTTTGGATACTTCTTGTGCTCGTCAACTCTCGGTGATTAGCAGACAGGTGCTTGACATGTCTCCACCCTCGGCGCGGACGGTGGATATAGGTATGGAAGACCTTGTTGAACATCGCTGAGCGTTGTGGATTACGTAATCCTGCAGAGGGGGGCGTGCCCGCTGCGAGATCGACGGGAATAAAAGCGCAGAAGACCGGGCGAAACATGCAACGGTCTTGCCGGAAAGGTCATCTGATGATTGTTGCGTTAACAATAATTTGCGGCGTTGGACGTGATGCTTGTTAATGAAAAGAGCCCCTGAAAGGCGTCGGTGAAATCGTTCCCAATTTTGGGTACGCCGTTCCCATAATAAGGAACGCTTGCATTGCAGCGCCAGTGTACGAGAGCGTTCCCAAATTTGGGCTCGCGGCCCGGGTGATGGACTGCTTTAGAAATAGGGGAACGATTTGAAACTACGATGGGCCTTACAATATCAAACTCTTTCCCAACAATATTGAGACAACTATCAGGCGGTTCACGATCGTTTTATATTTTTTGGACGTCATTTAACAGTTCTTTTTCTTGTTTTAAATAATGCCTACATGGCGTTCCCATATTTGGGTTTATCGTTCCCAAACATGGGAACGAAAATGCGTTCCCGAAAATGGGTACGCTTGACCATAGTTCCGCCTACTGTAATCCCTGTCAGCCGGTCTCATGATATTCAGTGCCAGAGCAACATGAACTTGAACCATGACTCTCACTACTGGAAGTCAAATGCTCTACCAACTGAACCACAGGACAGGCTATCACTACTTTTGTGATTGATTTTCTCCTTGAAGAAAAATGACTGACCCCTTTCATTTGCTAAATTGTGACCTAGCTAGTAGACACATGGGCAATACCTACTTGTTAAATTCCTTGTGTCCATTTTTATGAATAGACACTTACAAACTACATTTTTACAAGTATGGAGTAAATGTTTTTTGGATAAACAAAATTTTATGATTTGAACAAAATTACACGGAAATTATTTAAATTTATAGGAGTATTTGAAAGGGACATCATTGATGCAGAATATATTGCTTCCTATGCTTATGTGTGTGTGTGTTTTTTTGTTGTTGTTGTGCTGATGTGTATATGTACTGACTTTGGTATGAAATAAACCATTATTATTAAACTGTGTGGTCAGAGGGTCAAGTTTTAGATGCTGCTGGGCTGGATGAATAAAGCTCCTTGCCTCTGCCAGCTAATGTCAGTGAGTGAGAGCTAAAGAAAACAGCCAAGAATGAATCAGCTATGTTAAAAATGGATATGTTTAGGTTGAACTTTGACTTACCTTTGAAATGATCCTATAATGTAATAATATATACCTAGTTATCAATGGGATTTCAGAAGTTAAGGCATGCACTACTCTTCTTTGAGCAGGCTCTGTGTTTTTATCAAGTATGTCTCAGGTCTCGTCTCTGTCTCTAAGTTTCTTTGTTTTTGTTTCAAGTGTACTGTTAAATCCTTATGTAATCCATTTTTCAGATACCTAAATAAACATTATGAAAGAAGGAGATTCTAAGAAGAAGGAGGGTATGCCAAAGGACAGCTCTAAGGAGTCTCCTGATGAGAAGTCTCAGTCAGCAATGTCTGTGACACCCACAAAACCTGAGGGAGCCTCAAAGGCAGAGAAGACCAGTTCTCCTGCCTCTGAGGCCCCTGTGGACTCGGCCAAAGCAGCCCAGGCTCCAGCTGATAGTACAGAGGAAAAGAAAGGAGAAGAGGAGGAGAGCAGGTAATGTGTGGGCAACATCTTAACCCCCGCCCGTGAGGGGGAGTCGAATGGACCCCCTCGGTTTTTTCGCGAATAACTCGCATAATAGCGGCCGATTGCGACCAAACTCTCAGTATCCTTGCGTTCATGAATTTTACACCTATCCTGAAAATTTCCTCACCCTTGACCCTGACCCAAATGACCTTTGACCTGTGACATACTTTTTGAGACCATGTATGGCCGGAATCGAGATTGGCGTATGCCGAATGCGATTGTCAGCTCGCATTAGCCGCGCGTTTGTAGTCTTTTCGTGGCTTCAAGCGTTTAAAAATGTGATGTGATGTTGCTCTCATGCATTAGGGTGGGTATCAAGGTCACCTGAAGGTCAGGTCAGGTCATTGACCTTTGATGAACTCGGTTCACTTTTTCGATTTTAACATGTTTCTAGGCTAGTTTTTTTAGCTGAATTCGAAGCTAGCAACCATTTGAACATTTATGAAGTAGTTTTGGTGCCTTCGCTTCATGTTACAAAGCTGTCAGAGGCGGTTGACATGTACTACGAATACCCGGCAGGACCCTTACTGGTTGACCTGACCTGACCTGACCTGACCCGACCCGACCCGACCCGACCCGACCCGACCTGGCCTAAATGCATGAGGCATCATCTGTGATCAAAACAAACATGATATTCGTAATCAGCACCCCGAAAAAAATAGCAGCCACACGTTACGACGTTCTAACAAGTCCCGATTTTCCCGACTTTTGGGTCATTGACCTGACCTGGAAGGCCAACCGATGACCTGGGACCTTAAAATTGGGTATCATCGGCTTCTTCTCGTCACGGGCAGCACGCTCGTTTTTTTCGCGAAGCTCTAGCTCGATCAGGAGCGAAACGGCAAGGGTGGTCCAACGGACCCCCCCCCCCCCCCCTTTACGTTCGTGGCTGGCAAAACGCCAATACGGGCGAGGTTTAAAATGACAAACGATCACAAATGTGACTTTTTACACAATGTTTTAATTTTTGTATCTCGTCACATTTTTTTATATATTATTTTATGTTGAAATGTTATGCTATGCTAGACCCATCACTTATCAGTTGACAGTCTAAGTGATTTTTTAAGCATTGTTATGCCATAGAATTATATCATTCTGAGGTGATCTTACCACTGTCAATCTCTCTTCCTTCCACCCTGCCACGCCAATAATTGCGAACTCAGTTCTGGTCGCCACCGCCGCTATTTGCGCTCGTATCATTTGTTTAGCGGATTCGGCGCCGGGATCTGCCGAGTCAGGGCGGTGCTCGACAGATGCTGGTGTCGGGCTGTGAGGACGGGTGTGTTGTGCCACCCCAGTGGTCACAGTGGACCCGGCTGGGCCGTGTCACGGTCCAGAGCTGTGTGCGGGATTCGGCACCAGCGCTGAACCGATCAGCGCTTCAACCGTCTGAACCATGGTCTTTTCTGTCACCGAGGGAGGGTTTTAGAAGGTCGCTCCAACGTTTAACCCTCTCTGGGTGACTGTTGCGTCTGTGTGACACCCGACTGACCTGTGACCTCTGACTCGTTCGTGGCAGTATGGAGGATATGGTGGCCGGCATGGCGAGCGCCGCCTCCGGCTGGCTGTCCGGCTGGATGAAGTCGCTCGAGGTGGCCAAGTACAAGGTGAGCGCCCTGCCGACCGGGGACGTGCCGCCAGGCACGTATCGGTCGTATTTAGTGTCATAAGGTTCGGAATTCTGTTCCTCAATCATGCTTCATGAGCACGTCAGCTGGTCTATAGTTGTCGATTTGTTTATCCACATGCTCTGATTCGTCCAAACAATGGCCGCTTTGTTTGGTGGTTACTGGTTTGTGCCCATTATGTGAGCGTTTTTTATTATTGTCTTCTGTCTAGGTTCGCTTAGTTCCGTCAACTATTATGTAAGTGGGGCTGCTGCAGAATTTTCCGCCACCGCCACTGCGCACCAGCCAGGGCAGCCCTTTTGCCAGTTCAATCATATTTGGAGTAATAGTGACACTTTAAAACACATCAACCGACAGTTTCAATTTCTAAATAATGCCAGCTCTACAGTTCGTCAGGCATCAGCAGGAACTCTGCCGTATTGGGAGGTATTCCTCCTAAACTACGAACAAAGCACGCACAATACACCCTGACCGCATCTTGGGTGTCTGTGCTCGTGTTAGCTCGCAGAGGTTTGTGTCTCAAGTGTATCCGCTACCCGAGGTGTGTACTCTGAAACTGCAAGGACAGGCTGAAAGAACAGGCTGACCATTGTGTGTAGTTACTGGGGTTAGTCTGCCGCCCGAGGAGCTCGGATAACTCGTAACTCGTGTGTCTGTCCGTTCCCAGTCGGCAGAGGTATACGATATGGTGAAAAAAGACCTGACCGAGTTCACCGAGGCTGTGCAGACCGAGACCACCTCGATGATCTCCGAGACGAGCTCTATGATCAGCAGCACGTCACAGACGCTGAAGGAGAGCCTGCAGGTCAGGATGCTGGCACATCCAACAGTGAAGCACCGGCTTGTGGTGGGCGAGCGGGGAGGTGCTGTGTGTTTCATTTTAAGTGATTCCACGTTGATGACTCGCTACCTGCTATAACCTTGTAGCTCTTCTGTCAATGGTGCTTTGTTATTTTTTTTTATCGTCATCTCTGTATATTGTGACCCCCGCTACCGCAATGTATTAATTATTCTGGCTCGTCGATATATTCAAGTGCACGTCTATCAACAGAGTGATTTGCCTCCAGAAGTTTCAAACGTTCACCTGTCACGAACATACCTTCTAACTCACGCCCCAAGCTGTAAGATCACACCACCCCACTCAATCCCCTTGTCGTCTCTCCCCTGCAGAGTGAAGAGTCGACGGCCGGCCAGGTGAAGAAGTCCGTCTCGGGCTTCCTGACCCACGTGCACAAAGTGTTCACCCCCGATACAGCTCAGGATGACGACGCCGAGGCCTACGTGCTTCAGGACGGGCAGCCCGTGCTGCTCGACAGGCTGCAGGTGGGTAGGGGAAGCTGGAGGTGGGTAGGGGAAGCTGGAGGTGGGTAGGGGAAACTGCAGATGTGTAGGAGAGAGCTGCAGGAGAGACTGCTGGTCAGTGGAAAGAGCTGCAGGAGAAACTGTTGGGGGGTGTTGGGAGCTGAAGGACCGGCTGCAGGTCGGTAGGGAAGGGTTGTGAGACATGCTACAGCTCGGTAGGTGGAGAGCCTGTTGGTGGGTGGGGAGAGCTGCAGGACCGGCTGGAGACCGGTAGGGGAAAGCTGCAGAACAGGCAGCCCATGCTGCTTGATAGTTAGGCTGCAGGTGAGTATGGGGAGTTGCAGGTCAGTAGGAGAGAGCTGCAGGTTGGTAGGAGAGAGCTGCAGGACAGGCTGCAGGACGGGCAGCCCGTTATGCTCGACAGTCTGCAGGTCGGTAGGGGATGGTTGCAGGACCGGCTGCAGGTCAGGGGGAGATGCGGGACAGTCTGCAGGTCAGTGGGAGAGAGCTGCAGGACAGGCTGCAGGTCGGTGGGGGAGGGTTGTAGGACAGGCTGCAGCTCGGTAGATGGGGAGCCTGTTGGTGGGTGGGGAGAGCTGGAGGACAGGCTTTTGGTCGGTGATTGGGGACAACTGTGTTCTTAAACTCAAAAATGAAATTGATGATAGAGAAACGAGACGAGCTGTCCGATATATTGCTACAGTATCTGATATGGTCTTTGCGTCTATTGCGAGGTGATGTGCGCAGTGTCTTATCGTTACCTATCTTATCCTCCCGATATGATGACTTATCTAATCTTCCGATCGGCTTGTCTCTGTCAAACTTATTGAGCCAACACTAAGTCCTGACAAAGGTCAGTTCTTGCCCTCTCACATGACCCTGATAATTGACCAGTGGCTTAGATGAAACCTCCGCACCCTAGCCCGTGCATGGTGGTTCCCTTAACCTGACCTCTACCCCACCCTGCACCCTCAGACGGAGCTGTACCGACTGGCGGCCGACCCCAGCACCTACCTGACGGAGCCAGCCGAGTCGGAGCGGGTGCGGTACGAGGTGTGGAGCGCCGATCTGGACCTGGAGGCGCGCCAGACCGAGCTCAGCGACCTGCTGGCCTCCAACCGGACCGTACTCGAGCAGTACACCAGCCTGGTGCCGGCCAAAGTCAGCCACGTGCTCTTCTGGCACAGGTGGGTGGCGTGTCCCCACGTGCTCTTCTGGCACAGGTGGGTGGTATGTCCCCACGTGCTCTTCTGGCACAGGTGGGTGGTATGTCCCCACGTGCTCGTCTCATGCTACGATGGCAGAACTGAGCCCATCTAGTGCCGGCCAAATTCAGGCACATAGGTAAGGTACTCTTCTGGGCCTGGCACAGGTGGGTGTACCAATAGTTTAGCGCCTAAATGGGTATGAAGCTCCTACTTACGAAAATTTGCCAGCCGTCCACCCATATGTCTTTAGTATTTGGTATAGCTTTCAATTATGTGTATATGTTTACGACATTTGACCTCTGTATACCCGTATACCTGCGTACAGGTACCTGTCCGGGTACACCTGGAAGACCCTCTGCGTTTGACTGCTGTCCGTGTATCCTCGTACAGGTACCTATTCCGAGTACACCTGGCAGAGGAGAAGGAGAAGCAGCGCGAGCAGCTGAGGAAGCGTGCCGATCAGATGAGCTCACCCGGACAGGCCGAGAAGCAGATCACCTGGGAAGAAGGTACGTATTAGCGCCCGGTAGGCGGTCTCGGAGACGTGGAGGAGAGGCTTAGCTTCGGATTGTGATTAGATTAGCAAAACTAACAACCGAGGGAATTGATTGGAAGATTCCTGATCTGCGAGTGAATTGAAATAATCTACATTTTTTAATTGGGCCTCATCTGTAGCCTTTTTCATAAAGAAAATACGTTTTTGTTGTCTTCTCAATCATTCATCTGTGGTCTATTTCGAGATTGCTATTTTGCCTGGGTTTTCAAGTGTTGGTGTTTCCGGGATCTACCGGACCATACCCTTTACAAATAATGTACATATTGCCGCATGGTGTTGCCGACTGTAAAATGACCCGAGTGTGTGACCGACTGCCATTGGTGTTTGATGTCTGCTGCATCTTGATCTTTTGCCTCTCTCGTGCCGCGCAGAATCCGCGGAGAAAAGTAAGTCCCCCTCATTGCTCTGTAGCTCGATGCTGCTGGGTTGGTGTCTGATCGCCGAGCTTCTGTCCTTCCTGTTCTATTTCTTTTTTCTTTTCCTGGTTGTATCTGGCACCCAGACAGTATGATTGTCTGCTGTTAACACAGCATCTTCTATAAACGATGTGTTGATCTGTCTGTGTCCTATCCACGCGCTTACTTCTAAACACAACGACTGGCTCTGGTCCAGTAAATCAGTTTTCCAAGTTACAAGCTTGCAGCCGCCATAACCGCAGTGTTGGGCTACAGGGATGGTTGTTTGCACTGGGATGCTAGTTTGTTCAGGGGTACCTGGGTTTATGGTGTGCTGGAACTGTAGATCCTGGCATAATGACTGACTTCGCATGGCGATGTTAATTGTGCATCGTAGTTTTATCTGCTATCATAGGCTGTTTTTCTTTTCCTTTGTACAATTTTCTAACTTCTATGCTTCTTTATAGATGGGATCCTTAAAAACTAAGACGACGTGAGACGCAAAATTTCGCAGCCTACACATCCCACGACACATTTCCTAAGACCTTAGTCACGTTCTTACTCTGCCCTATCTTGAGACATTCATACTAAACATTATTGAATATGCCCTGTCTCGAGACATCCATACTAAACACTCGAGGTCCGGGGCTCAGTGCTCACCCTTGTGCACTCTGTGTGTCCCTTCCCGGCTGCACTGTCTGAGTCGTTCTGTCCCGTCTCTGTCTGCTGTCCATTCAGTATGTAATATATTATGATAATACCTCCGTCCGTTCGTGTATTTAGTTGCACCCGTCTCGTTCGTCTGTATGTCACTTGCCGTTCGGCTGTTCTACCTCAGTTCCCTCCATCCCTTTGTATACATGTCCCTTTGCATCCAACCCATCTTCCCTTATACTCCGTGAGTTTCGAGCTCTCTCCGTCTCTGTCTATCCCCCGTCCTTGTTTGTGTATGTTTCCTAGTCCCTACCCCGGCTGTGTCCATCCCGCTCTCCTGCTCGTCTCCGTCCGTTCGTCTGTTAACCATGAGTCGGGCCCGGCCGCCGTCCAGAGGACTTCAGTCACCACGTGGAGGTGACGGACGCTCAGGCTGACCAGCTCCTGGCAGAGTATGAGGCCGAGCAGCGGCAGAAACCCAGCAAGGCGGCCGCGCCCGCCGCCGCCCCCGCCGACAGCGCGGCCGCGGCCGGGGCCGAGGGCAGCTCTGGATCTCGGTCACCTGAGAGGGGTGAGGGCCGCGAAGGAGAGGTCGGGCGTGCACCCTGAGAGGGATGAGGGCGGAGAGAGAGGGAGGTCGGGCGTGCATGAGATAGGCCGGTTTTGGGGGTTTTCTGTTTGGTTTTGTTTGTATTTTCATTTTGCAGAGGCTTTCCTAGTGTTGCTGGATGAGTGGATGGTAGTGGCACAGACTGAATTTTCTGTGTAGTGAATGGAACTGTTTGTTATTTTTGTTGTAGATTGTAGTGCGGATTACGACCCGATCGTGCCGTATGCCTTGTACCCCGTGTCAGACTTGCCATTAGCCTCTTGCTTCTGATTGATATTTCGTCTCGTTTCACGTGTCATAACGGCTTATGTCTGAGCCACACCGTCATTATCTCAGGACCCAGACCTGTTCCCCTAAGTCCTAACAGTGGCCACACCCCGTGCTGATCGGTCCGCGCCCGCCCGCCTGTGTATCCTCAGCAGCCTCCAGCAACGAGGACGACTGGGTGAAGGCGGACATTGACGCCGAGACCAACAGCAGCGTGGGAAATGACTGGGAGAAGTGGGACTAGCCGCCGCCGGTACAGCCCTTCTACCGAGTCGTGAGCCGGCCGGTAGCGGTGTGGGACGGTCTTGGAGGAAACACTGAACAGCGCGTCTCAGAAGGTCGGCAGGATGAGTCGCTCCGGTGCTGGAATTGACGGGCCGGACGGCAAACTGCCCTAGGTGTGCGTGCCAGGACTGGACTGGCACCGATGGCCATGCTGTGGGGACAGTTCTCAGACAAACACTGAGTACTTTGGTGACGGGATGTCACTGTTAGAATGGACAGCAGAGCATCACAAATGTCACACTGGAGACCGTGAGAGGCGGAGACTGCCTGCACTGAACCTACGGTACACTGTGCTAAGGTACCGCACTGAGTCGCGTCAGAGGTCCGAGGTGTGTGAGGGTGCCACGGCGGTGTGCGGTGGCCCCTCGCCGGCCAGGACAGGCCCTATACTGCCGTACCGCGTCCCAAGCGCCGGCTATCGGCACAGACTACCCATGGTGAGGTGAGTGTCTCCTGCAGCAGCGTCAAACAGACCACAGCGGTAAGAATTGCTATTTTAATTAAGGCGCTGGCTTGTGGTGGTGATGCAATTGCTGTCGCCTTGTCGTGTCACACACGGAGTCTGCCGTTTTGCTTGCTCGCTGCAGACGCGAGATGTCCTGCGGTCACCTATATAATTATATACATCCAGTGCGTGCGTCTCTATATATTGTGGCTGTTGGTGTGAGCAGTGTCCGGTCGAGCTGCGTTTTCTCCCGCCCACCCGAAGTACCCGGTCGTGGTGATATGTCTGTGTGTGTGTGTATGAGTGGATGGCCGGGTGAAATGTGATTTGAGGACGTCTGGTTACGTGGAATGAGCTGAGACAGATATCAGCTTTGTTTTGTGTTACTGGATATATAATACTTTAGGGTGGTTCAGTCTGCGATGAAACCGTATCTTATTTGGATTAGTTACTGGTCGTGGACAATCAAAGGACAACTTTTGGAACAGGTTTCATTAATTTCCTTGCTTTTCGACTTGTTCGTAATTGAGGAAAAAAATCATCATGTGTCTGCTGGGAGTGGTATGTTGAGTAAGCCACATAATAGTTTATTTACGGTGTGTACTGTTTTCCCAGTAGCAAGGGCGGTGGAATTAGTAGTCTCTTCCCTCGTAGTATTGTTTGGTTGCGGTGTGTTATCTATGAAGGTCATATCATGTCCGATTCGTCGGCTGCTTAGCCACCGGTCAGCTGCTCCGCTCCCCACGACCTACAGTTTAGTACTGCGAGCCGCTGGGCCTGCCGTGTATGGAGTGGCGCTGAAGCGTCTCGCTAACTGGAGAATGCGACAGTCTACGGACTCTGCGCCCTGTAATGTGCGGTTTTTCTCGCCGGGGTAGTGCGAGTGTTGAATGCTGAGTGTGATGATGTTCTATGCCGCTTCCCAGCATATGTTTCTGCAATGCATAGCACAATGGTATAGGCGGGAACTTAGAAGTCGTTTCTGGAATGTGTCGCAGGCACGCATACATAGTTTTTCCGTGTGTTATTTTGTAGCCGTATGGTCCTGTTGTTAGACGTTCACGGGAAGGGGGATGCCTTTTAAGCAAAATAATTTCCGTATGGTAAGTTGTTTCCGTTGTTGAATGTCCATAGATTGTTTATTTTATTGTCTGCTAAAATATGATGCTGGTTACTTCTTTGCGTGACTTGCACTTCACGTGACGAGCGGTGTCTGAAAAATCGCCAATACATCCACAGATGTCATGCAATGTTTTTAAAAGGTGATGGAAGCAGAACGTGTTAATATCGCACCAAAGACGCGAGATTTCGAAAACCGCCGGGCCTGTAATAACTCGCTGGGAAGGCTCAGCCTGGATATCAGTGCCAGTGCCCTGTAGTCAGCCCACCCGCCGCCCTGGATCGATGTCCCAGTCGCTAGAGCTGATTGCGTTTTACGGTGAAAACTCCGCTCCCAATGGTCACAGCTGCGGTAGAGTTGAGTATCCTCCCTGTTCTGTCCTCTGGCGAGAGGGTCTGCGTTGTGTGTGTGGCCATCTGGGCCTGCCGTCTGGTTCACTAGGCACCAACTGCAGCCTGTCTCCTGCCTCTCGTTCGCACGAGTAGCAGGATTCGGAAGGGCCAATGTTCGAGCGCGAGTGGATAGTAAAGTGGAACAGATGTGATAAGCAGTGACAGAGAGGTGGACGCTGGACGGTCTCTTTAGTGGTGGAGTGGATGTGAAGTGGAATTGGTAATATCGTCTGATTCGGAGACGGATATAAGAGATCCAGTTACGGTAGTGAACTGATATGTGCACTTCCAGTGTGCACAGATCGTCTTCTGTAGTGCAACAGAAGGGCTCAACGAGGGCTAGTTAGTGAGCAATGGATTGCATGCAAAAAGTAAGCGCTAATGGTGAACCCCCCCCCCCCCTCCGTCTTTCTTGAATAACTCATGAATCGCTTACGCTATCAACTTGAAACTTCGCATACCTTTTCCCCCATCAATTTGACGTTTTCTGTGTAATTTTTAAGAAAATTTTCCAAATTTTTTTAGATATATCGATTTTAGTGATGTAGCTAGGTACATGGCGTTTTCAGCCAAAAAGTGGTAAATGTTTTTTTTTTAATCGCCAAAAATCAAGGTTTAAAGCAAATTGCAAATTAAGACATGAATAGACGCAGCTCAACGAGTTCTTTAAAATGGCAATCTCGGATTTTCCATAAAATGCGTTTTTCACCCCTAAAAATTCAAAAAACTATATTTTTTGGAAAACAGCTTATAAAATCCAAAATTTTGAGAAATTCCAAAAAACGGAATATCTGTTATAGAGCTCTATTAGAACATTAAATGTACCAAATTTCAACTTTCAATCTTGATTTTTGACCCCCAAATTGTAAAAAATAGCTCCAACATGCATAGGGCATGGTGACATCATAAGCATTTTCGTGAATTAGAGGCACTTCTGAACATCGCATGCGAAAACAAATGGCACCACTAGATTCCTGGGACAAAGCTCGGTTAGAAAAGTGCATTTTTATGTCAAAATTAAAAAGTTGAAAAATTGACCTTTTTTCTTAGCCCTCGTTTAGTTATGTATGGTATAAACGATTTTTATGTTTTCAATGCAAACTTATCACCAGCACAGTGACTAGGGGTCACATATAACCATTACCATCGGATTCGGCGTAAAAAAAAATAAGCCATAAAACATGTGTCGCACGCCCATGTACCTAGCAGAAAGTGAAAACCGTGACCTTTCGTGACCTGACCTGACCTTGACCCGTACTTAGTATGACCCCTATACGCATATGGTACCTTCACTAGGCCTTTGAGGTCATTTTTGGTGAGTTTCGAGCAGCAGCTATCGATTCCGCTGTCCGTAAGCCTAATCATGCAAAACCCCAGAATTTGACCTTTGACCTGACCTTGACCCGAAAGTTGACCTCAATCTAAAAATTTTAAGAGTGCTTTGGGAAGGTCTCGTAGAGACCTTTCGAACGCCGCCTCGCGGGGCTCGATACGACCATTGGTTCTCGAGATAACAGGGGGGTCGGATCCGACCCCCCCCCCCCCGGCTGTCGTGGGTACGGAAATAGTCCAGGCGGTGCCGGGTTAAGCCGTGATTAGTGGCTTGACTTTTCCGTTGAACCATGGCAAGGACTATTTTGTGGACGGCTCGAGTATTTCGGCCCTTGCAACTTGCACACCGTACCTACCTACTAGATACGAACAAGCAACTTCATTTTCGACATCGATATAAATCATGCAAATTGTTTCCATGCATTTGGGTTATTTTGACTTCACCTGTGCTGGTGTATCCTATAAATCTCGCTTCAGGCGTCTACCCATGAGCAATTATTCGGCCCAAACACCGTGTCCTTGGTCGTTCCAAGACGGATTTTCACTGGCGACCAGCAGGTGGAACGTCGAATGAGTCCGAGAAGGCCGGTATCTGAACGCCGTCTGGATCGATTCTGCCGCCGAACAGAGGTGATTAACGTGGCTCCCAGGACGTCAGCCGGGCCAGATTTGACACAGATACGTAGGTGGCCACCAATTACCACCAACAGACAGCGAAACCGGGACCAGGAGGCGGCGGGCTGATTTCCCTACAAATATGTATTACGATAGGTGCTGGTGTTTGATGCTTGTCGAGATTTTTATCTGTGATTACTGATAAGGAACAAAGACGGAGAAGTGCTCAGGAGAGAGAGCCATAGCAAAACAAGTGTACAGCATTCGTCGGCTCGGCTTGGCGCTTGTTTTGGTCAGTTGTGCACCTATGTATTAGGTAAATTTGTACAGCCCTCAGCAGACTGCGTGGTAGGTATTCTTTTTCCGACAAAACTGATAATAATTCAAAAGTCATGTTATCAGTCGGCCGAAACTCACTGCAAATAGATGCGCCATGCTCCACTCCTTCGATAGGGCCTATCAATAAACAAAGCATACGCCTTGTGTGGCAACAAAATGTAAAAGTTCGTTTTGGGGGCAAATATGAACTTTTGGGTTTTGTTGCCAAACTGAATGGAAAATGCATACGATGATAATGCCAATCTAAGCTGCGGAGTCTCGCGCATCTTGCTGCTACGATTTCCGAGTGCCCGATAGCATTGTATTCGCGTTATTCTCGGTTTTGTCGAAAAAAAGAATACCTACCACGCAGTCTGCAGAGGGCTGTACATTGAAGCAATGCTGCTGATGTGAGGCACGTCTGACAATATTTATCTGCGACACTCAGCTCCCATGGGTGTAACTTTGTATACTTTCGAGGTCCCATGTGGGACCCCAATGCGAACATTTGGGACCCCAATTGTCATTTTGGGACCCCAATAGTGGAGGCCCCCGAGACGCATCAGCTACTTTGCAAACGGAGGTCCGATATTCATATAAAAGGTTCTCTGTTTAAATAGGAGGCCCCTTGGACAAATCGGAGGCCCTGTTGGACAAATAGGAGGCCCCCTGAACAAGTAGGAGGCCCCCTGAACAAGGAGGCCCCCTGAACAAGTAGGAGGCCCCCTGAACAAGTAGGAGGCCCCCGGAAAACAGGAAGTCCCCTGGAGAAATAGGAGGCTCTCTGGACAAGTAGGAGGCCTCCTGGACAAATAGGAGGCCCTAGACAAATAAGAGGCCCCTAGACAAATAGTAAGCCCCATGGACAAGTAGGAGGCCCTCTGTACAAATAGGAGGCCCCCCTGCAAAAATAGGAGGCCCCCTGGACAAATAGGAGGTCCTAGACCTAGACAAACAGGAGGCCCCTTTCACAAAAGGAGGCCCCTGGACAAATAGGAGGCCCCATGGACAAGTAGGAGGCCCTCTGTACAAATAGGAGGCCCCTGCAAAAATAGGAGGCCCCCTGGACAAATAGAAGGTCCTAGACCTAGACAAAAAGGAGGCCCCTTTCACAAAAGGAGGCCCCCTGGACAAATAGGAGGCCCCTTTCACAAAAGGAGGCCCCTGGACAATTAAGAGGCCCCCTGAACAAGGAGGCACCCTGGATAAAGAGGAGGCCCCCTAAAAATAGGAGCCCTCTGGATAAATAGGAGGCCGCTTGGAAAATAAGAGGCTACTTTAACCAATAGGAGGCCCCTTGGACAAATAGGAGGCCCCCTGAACATGTAGGAGGCACGCTGGACAAATAGGAGGCCTCTTGGGCAAAGAGGCCCCCTAGAAAAATAACAGGTCCCTTGGACAAATAGGAGGCCCCCTGGACAAATAGGGGACCTCTTGAACAAATAGGAGGCTCCATGGACAAGTAGGAGCTAGAGGCTCTCTGTACGAATAGGAGGCCCCCTGGACAAATAGAAGGCTCCCTTAACAAAAAGGAGTCCCTTAAAAAAAAGGAGGCCCCGGGACAAGTAGGAGACCCTTGGACAAATAGGAGGCCCCTGCACAAATATGAGACTCCTAGTCGAATAAAAGACCCCTGGACAAATAGGAGGCCCCTGGACAAATAGGAGGCCCCTGAACACGTAGGAGGCCCCCTAGATAAAGAGGAGGCCCCCTGGAAAATAGAAGCCCCCTGGATAAATAGGGGACCTTCTGGAGAAACAGGAGGCCTCCTGGACAAATAGGAGGTCCCATAGACGAATAGGAGGCCGCTTGGACAAATAGGAGGCGCCGTTAACCAATAGGAGGCCCCCTAGACAAACAGGAGGCCCTCTGTAACAGTAGGAGGCTCTCTGTACGTACAAGAGACCGGCGCTGTAGAAGGTTAGCCGTATGTACGCTAGGAGGCTCTCTGTGCAAGTAGTCGAAGTAGGAGGCTCTCTGTACTGTACCTACAATTACAAATAAGAGGCCCCCTGGGTAACTTAGATGCAACACAAATCGGAGGTCACCTATAAAAAAGCGGGACTCTGTTGGAATACCTGATTTAATAAATTATTTTCCTGATATTCAAATTACTTAGGTAATCCTCGTCCGCACATGGTGGGGGGGGGGGCGGTGGTTGCCACACCCCCCACCCCGACCTAGGTAGTTTTTTTCTGCTCTGCACTAAACATTTTGATTGCTAGAAGTCGGATATTTCGTATAGCTGCTGCTCTATCCTTTTTTAGCGTCCACTGAAAATTTCAAGTTTCTGTGGTTTTTGGTTTCGGAGATATGACCTTATTCTTCAGGTAATGTCATAACCCAAATGACAAATACCCAATATCTTGCGTTGGCGTTGGGTCTTGTGAGCTTTTGACACCTTGATTTCGGCCTTTTTTGTCAGTCTTACCTCCCACCTATCATGGAACATGTTGTTCAATGATGTA